TCTTTAGCCATTCAAAAACAGCTGTCATGTGCGTGGGTAAAATTTTCCTGCTGGCGCTTTTAGGTATACATCGACCTCTGGTGGTTCTAGTGTTAAACATACATCATTTCAATTTGCAGATTTTGTTGTGATAGACCCCATACAAACAGGATATTAATAGTAACCCAGCAATCACATATGGCACGCTATTTATTTATGTGTTTTGCGTTTAACACTGTTTAGTGCAGCTCACAAGGCAATGATTACAACTAGGTATTTTGCTTTGAGTTCAGCTCTGCAATGATCTGGAATTGACTGCCTGGGCTACAATAGAAGTAAATAAAGATTTAAAGAACTGAAATCATGATCAACTGGAGCTTGAGCTCGATTAAATTGATACGTTCATTTATTTGGTCACAGAAACGTTTGCAATCAAAAGTCAAAATCTTTAACAAACACATTACCACGCCACATCACAATATCTTTTTTAGTTTTGGCTTTTTTGTTTCCTGCTCATCTGTTCACCTGATTTAATAAATAATATGCCATAAATTTAGTTCAACTGCATGCTAAATTAAACAGCCAAACTTTCAAGGACATTAATTAATATTTGTTCATATTCAGCAAATATTTGTGGCTTTTGGAGAAGGGTCGTCAGGTCTAACTACAGATTTGAGTCCGAAGTACTTGGTCTGTCATTCATTTGACGCTGCTGTAGATCGCAGAGTCCTCTTCCACAGTCTTCACATCTGATCGCCTAAAACAAAATAAAATCAAGAAAAAACAGAAACACACTGATGTTATGCATCAGATTACATGATGATGAAGTCATTTAAAAAAATACAGCCATCTTGTATGTCACGTTTCTGATTTAGCATTATTCAGGTCCAAGTTTAAAGAACTATACATTTCTCCTTTCATCATTATCATAACAGAGCAGATGAAGACAGGAGTTGTATTTGAGCACCTCATGGCAGCACCAGGCTGGTGAATCCTGAGATTGCCGTACTGGTTTTCGTTCTCCTCTGCTCTCTGCATCGGTTTGGTTTTGTGATGTTGGACGGTCACGTACTGGATCTCCTCAGCGTCTTCGTTTCCGTCTCTTCTGGGTGTGCTGTATGAAACGCTGGCATACGGAGCATCATCACAAACGGCTGATTCAGACATGTGAGCATCCCTCTCGTTTACGTTAGAGTACAGATCATCCTGAAATGAAAGAAAATTAATTATTACACATATGAAACCTAGCTAAAAGTACATGACAAATATTTCCAGTCAGGTCTGGATGATTCACCTGTTTTACTGTGACGACTTCAGCTTTTGCACCTCTTCGTTTTCTCCTGGTTTTATAGACATTAACAATTGTAAGTTGTGTTTTAAAGATTAATTACTAATAATCACATGGGGAAATTCCACCTGCACTGCAATTGAGAATCAAACTTACATTATGAACACGATGATAATGATAATGATGAATAATCCTACACACGTGACTGTGATTCCCAACCAGACAGGCCAACCCAGACTACGATACACTGAAAGATGAAGAACATGAGTTAACATTGACTCTCAAAGCTACACAACTTTCTTGAACCCTTTATAAAATAAAAATGTCACCGGTCACTGATAAAACTGCTGATCTCTGAGATCCATGTTGATTGTGAGCCTCACAGTAGAAGCGGCCACTCTGTAGTGCACTGAAACTCTGTCCAGATCCAACAGCTGAGCTTTGATTCTCCTTAAACCAGCTGATTTCTGCAGGTGGGTTTGAATCACTGCTGCAGCTCAGAGTCACTGAATCTTCTTCTACTTCACCAGATCCATTTATAGACACTGAGACGTTCCTGGGAGGATCTAAAACAAACCAAAAATCATTGATATTACTAACAATCACAATACATTTGACATCACAGAAGATTAAATATCACAGTTACTGAACCATCATTAACTCACACATGATGTTTAAAGTCGCAGCATCAGAGTATTTCTCTCCATGTTTATTTCTGGACTTGCACTTGTATTCTTCACTGTGATCAGAGCTGATCTTTGAGATGTTGTAGTTTATTCCAAATCCTACAAACATTCCTCTTTTAAACCAGCTGATATCTGCAGGTGGGTTTGAATCACTGATGCAGCTCAGAGTCACTGAATCACCCTCCACTATTTCACAACATGGACTGATGAAGATCACAGGATTCTCTGGAGGATCTACGGAAGAAGTATAGTACCGTTCATGCAGTACTACAGTATGAAGTCAGTGTCAAAGCATGAACATTAGATATATAAATGTGACCAGCTGGACTTTCCTAACTCAAATAGTCTGATGCATTTTGCACATATGATCTGGGTCTGGCATTGCTTCACATTCAAACAATTAGCAACATGAAATTTAGTTCTCCCATCATGGGACAAAATTTACAGTTTTTTTTTTTTCATGTGTGTGTGGTAATAAGTTTCATGCAACAAAACTGGTTACCGCACACACGAAAAGGAAAGGAAAGAAAAGAAAAGAAAAGAAAAGAAGCTGTGTGGAGCACATTTAATGATGGATTGGCATAGTTTATTGGACTTTTATTTTTTGGATATAAGATGTTAAAAGTATCCAAAGTTCATTAAAGTTGTAGAAACTTGGTGGCGTGTCTGATCGAAAAACTGGAAAAACACCAGTCCTTTGCTCTTTTTTATTCCATTGAATTGAAGAAGCTTAAGTCTTAAGTAATTTTCATGTCATGAAGTTCACAAATTCACACAGAGCAGATTCACAAGATGTAAATTGTCAGATGTTGAGAGAAGAACAGGACTAACAGGATGAACAGGATGGTCTTAAGTCATTAACACATCCTAAGGAAAAAGACTCAAAGGACATGGTTGGGTGGGTGTCCATTCAAGCACCCACGCCTCACCAATGCAAAAGGAAACAAAGGATGGAAGTGCGGTCTATTTATAGACCTTAACCAGGGGAGTATGGGTATTGTAGTGCAGCATATATGGGAATGTATTTTACTAGGAACTGTGGGAGATGAAGTACAAAGAAAAATAAGAACAAATGAGTCAAATTCACAACACTATTGGACTATTGAATATCACCCATTCACTGCGATTATAAAGCTTGGAAGAGCCAGGACATTTTTTTAAATATAATTCTGATTGTATTCGTCTGAATGAAGAAAGTCATACACACCTAGGATGGCTTGAGGATGAGTAAATCATGGGGTCATTTTGAGTTTTGGGTGAACTATCCCTTGAGTGTGGACTCATAGAAACACTGAGCCATGTTAATTTAACACCGGGGATTTTGCTGTGATCTAGAGAACATATTATGTATCTACATATGGGCATTCGGAAACAAAGCTTACCCAGCTGTAATTGTGTGTATCTGTGAGGGGTCATTCCTATAGTTGGGTAAGCTTTGTTTCCGAATGCCCAAAGTAAAGATAAGTTTAATACACTTTCGAAAACCCAGCCAGTATAACATTTAACATTTACACATTTGACACTATAAACAATGTGATTTCTGCACTAAATCCAGCATAAACTCAGCACTATTTGCACACTCAAGACAAGCGTCACTATCTGAACCTCGCAGCCTTTGGCTGGCACGTGGTTTATGCTTGATATTCGCATGAAGTCGAGCATTGCTCAATCTTTTTGACCAGTGGCAGTGTTTCACAAAAACCTAGGGTATGGCATAATTCCCTGTGGTCATACAACAACCCAACCAACCAAATGTGCACAAAAATCCACTATACTAAAAGAATACACAGAGTCCACAGACATGCAGAGACTTACAGAGGTAACACAATACAAAAGCAATAGAAAGTCAGAAAAAAATGCTTCCCACAACTACCATGAATTGTCCTTATTAGGAACCTACCAATGTTCAGATCTGTTCATCTAAAACTATTTGGGTTATCTTTAAGGAGCATCATTATAAGCTGTTTATTTCCTCTGTTTTGAATACCTATGCCATACACTCTCATAAGTGAATGCCACCCTTGTTTTTGCTCTCGGCTGCTCTCACACGAGCCTGAAGCTCCTCTTCCATAGGAATGAATTGAAAACGCTTGATCAAGTGCTGATTCCTATATGAGTGGATTTAACCCACATAATTTTGCCGAGCAATTATAAAGGTGACCGCACCTTTGCGTTGTCATGGCATGGAACAAAGTTGTCATGCCCTAAAATCATGTTAACATGAATATTGTTCACGTCTAGTGGCTGTACTATTGAAATAGTGAGCATTTTTAACGTTTATGGGTTGAAGCTTATGTCTGCAGGACTGAGGCTCTCCAAGACCGGAGTTTGCCACCCCTGTTATAGTACGTAGATCGATTACCGGCACACGTCATTACGTCCCCATGCGACATCATCCGACATTCCCTACAGAATTTCACGCATCAACATACAGTTCGTCTTCATCATGGTAACATATACAGTTTTGCACTTTTTTTGCTGTCAAACGGTTGACCACTGGTTGACACCTACATGACAGTAACCGTGTGATTAAGGTGTTTACATGTCAATACTGCACTTCGATAAGCGACTAAAATAGAAATACTCCACGTCTTAATTTGATTTGTGTTCACTTCGAGTATGACTTTAGCTCGATTAAGGTAAACAAAAATCTCTGTTTACATGGTAGATTCTTAATCAGAGTATTGTCTTAATCGTGTTAATATCGGTATACTGTTGTCCATGTAAACGTACTGACTGTAAATCTGATTTATGCTTTTTTAAAGAAAAGGAGGGTCCAGTGAGTTTGAATGAAACCTTTATAGAATATACTCACACGTGACATTGAGATGAACAGCAGGAGAGATGTAAGTGTGTTCATGTAGAGCACAGCTGTATCTGCCTGCATCCTCTCTTCTGACTGGCTGCAGCAGGAGTTGATTGTTTCTGTCTCTTCTCTCAGTTAATGGCTGTGAGTTTCTGTACCAGATGAATGTTGCTCTGTCAGTCAGAGTGCAGCTGCTTTTACATGTCAGACGCACTGAATCTCCCTCTGTCACTCTCTCAGGAGCCTCCACCTGAAGATCTGAACACAACACACACATTATATCTAGTGCTGCTGTCATACACTGATTATTACACAACGTAATGCACAGAAGAAGAGTGACATTTCATTAAAGTCACCTGTCACAGTAAGAGTCACTCCTGGTTCGCCACGCCATTTTCCATTATCTTTATCAGTGATGAATCTGAAATAGTACATGTGTTCGTCCTTCTGTGTGACATGACTCAGTCTGATGGTGCAGCTCTGCTGTTTATCTCCCAGATACTGAAGCCTCTGACTGTATTCTGTATCCTCAGACAGATCTGGAAACTCATTATCAGCATTTTTAACAAGTGCTTTGGTCCAGAACACTTTCTTGATCTGAAGTCCAGTAGGGTATGTATAAGTGCAGCTCATTATCACTGATGAGTCCTTTAGTGCACAGATGTGTGAAGAGCCATAATGCACACCCCAATTCTGACCATAAACTCCTCAAACACAACATTTGTGAAAAAAAATAAGGAAAACACTAGTCTTTAAATCAAACAGGACCATAAAAGTTCAATAAATCGTAATGTCTTAAAGTTTTATTAAAGAGAGGCTCACCTGGAATCATGAGCAGAAACATCAGAGGTAGAGGAGCCATGAGCAATGACATCACTGCAGGAAAATATAATACAACAGTACAATACCTCATCTTTAGTTTCATAAACATAATAACAACAAAAGTAGTACACTGTACAATAGACATTGTAAACAATGATAAAACTCATTTAATATCTGCACTGTTAGAAGTTTTACACTTTTGAAACTCAAGTACACATAAGCACTAGATGTTCAGAGGTTATGAAAAGAAAATTACTTTCACTTGTCTCTCACTTTATTATTATTATTATTATTATTATTATTATTATTATTATTTTAGTGACAGTATTTATTACTGAATGAATGTAACTCTTACCGTGTTGTGGTTTCAGTCAATAGATTCCAGCAGAGTGAACTGAAAATGCAAGCTGAAAATGTTCTTCTGCTGTTTTACAGTGTTTTCCTTCCTCTTTTTAAAGTCTATTTCAGAGGCTTGCCCCATAACAAGACAGGAACAACCCAAACAAAACAACTTAAAAAATACTAAGAATGACTAAATAAATAAATACAATTAACTCTTTCAATAGGATTGATTTAAAAGTGTCTAAATACATCGCAGTGGCTTGCAGGAATAAAAAATAAATAAAATAAAAACCTAAAAAAGTGAAACCTTCACCGTGAAAGGGAAACTTCTTGTCACCATGGTCAGATGGCAGGAACACTCAATGTTTTTTTTTCTTTCTTTAGAAAGAAGTACTTCTTCAGTTTACACAATAAGATCAAACTATTTATGTTTCAATGCATAATCAATACTAATTGTATATTTATGTGAGGTAGGAACATTACTTTGCCTTAAATACAAAGAATCAGGCTAAAAAGCAAACAAACAAACAAACAAATAAATAAAATACATCAAAAATAAAAGAATGAATAAATAAAGTCAATGAAAAAAAAAAAATTAAAACAGTAAATCAAAACTAAAGAAATAAGTGAAGTAAAAAAAACAACAACAATATGAATAAATATATAAAGTCAAAAGTAAATAAATTACTTAAAAATGAAAAAAAAACACAAATAAATACAAATTAATAAATTAAAAACTGTAAATTATAAATCAATCAATCAATTAAGGGGAGACACTGCAGGCAAAAACGTCTCGGTTACGTATGTAACCCTCGTTCCCTGAAGGAGGGAACAGAGATGTCACATTGGTAATGACCGACGAATTGGGATCTCGTTTAAATAGACCAATCCACTTTGAGTGTAAACTAAACGAGCCATTGCACATCGGCATCCAATGATTGCATCCAGCTTCCGCTGATCGCAGTGCGAGTATAATTAGGCAGCAGGTGCAATGCATACTCAGGTTTTTGCTGAGGATCTGAGCCGGTGACCCGGCCACTCAGTGGTGGTACAGCAGCCATGGCGACGGGATGTGGGTTACATGCATAACCAAGACGTTCCATTTCAGTCGGTCACTCTCGATGTCATGTCGGTAAAGACCAATGAATTGGGATCCCTACCAAAGCGCCATGGATGTTACCCCTTCCAGTGTCCTGTGCATTGTTGCCAATTTAGCTACTTTGTAGCTAGATTTAGTGACTTCCC